TCAGCACCCCATCTTGACAGAAAAATGTAGAAATTTTTGCAAATTTATTAAAAAAGAAAAACTGAAATATCACATGGTCATAAGTATTCAGACCCTTTGCTGTGACACTCATATTTAACTCACATGCTGTCCATTTCTTCTGATCCTCCTTGAGATGGTTCTACTCCTTCAATGGAGTCCAGCTGTGTTTAATTAAACTGATTGGACTTGATTAGGAAAGGCACACACCTGTCTATATAAGACCTTACAGCTCACAGTGCATGTCAGAGCAAATGAGAATCATGAGGTCGAAGGAACTGCCCAAGGAGCTCAGAGACAGAATTGTGGCAAGGCACAGATCTGGCCAAGGTTACAAAAGAATTTCTGCAGCACTCAAGGTTCCTAAGAGCACAGTGGCCTCCATAATCCTTAAATGGAAGAAGTTTGGGACGACCAGAACTCTTCCTAGACCTGGCCGTCCAGCCAAACTGAGCAATCGTGGAAGAAGAGCCTTGGTGAGAGAGGTAAAGAAGAACCCAAAGATCACTGTGGCTGAGCTCCAGAGATGCAGTAGGGAGATGGGAGAAAGTTCCACAAACTCAACTATCACTGCAGCCCTCCACCAGTCGGGGCTTTATGGCAGAGTGGCCCGACGGAAGCCTCTCCTCAGTGCAAGACATATGAAAGCCCGCATAGAGTTTGCCAAAAAACACATGAAGGACTCCCAGACTATGAGAAATAAGATTCTCTGGTCTGATGAGACCAAGATTGAACTTTTTGGCATTAATTCTAAGCGGTATGTGTGGAGAAAACCAGGCACTGCTCATCACCTGCCCAATACAATCCCAACAGTGAAACATGGTGGTGGCAGCATCATGCTATGGGGGTGTTTTTCAGCTGCAGGGACAGGACGACTGGTTGCAATTGAAGGAAAGATGAATGCGGCCAAGTACAGAGATATCCTGGAAGAAAACCTCTTCCAGAGTGCTCTGGACCTCAGACTGGGCCGAAGGTTCACCTTCCAACAAGACAATGACCCTAAGCACACAGCTAAAATAACAAAGGAGTGGCTTCGGAACAACTCTGTGACCATTCTTGACTGGCCCAGCCAGAGCCCTGACCTAAACCCAATTGAGCATCTCTGGAGAGACCTGAAAATGGCTGTCCACCAACGTTCACCATCCAACCTGACGGAACTGGAGAGGATCTGCAAGGAAGAATGGCAGAGGATCCCCAAATCCAGGTGTGAAAAACTTGTTGCATCATTCACAAGAAGACTCATGGCTGTACTAGCTCAAAAGGGTGCTTCTACTCAATACTGAGCAAAGGGTCTGAATACTTATGACCATGTGATATTTCAGTTTTTCTTTTTTAATAAATTTTGCAAAAATTTCTACATTTGTTTTTTTCTGTCAAGATGGGGTGCTGAGTGTACATTAATGAGAAATAAAATGAACTTTTTTGATTTTAGCAAATGGCTGCAATGAAACAGAGTGAAAAATTTAAAGGGGTCTGAATACTTTCCGTACCCACTGTACAATAAACAATGATACAATGCACACGTGTCACTGTCCATCTCTTTTATGACTGACGTGAATTAATGTGCACATTATAGCTGTCAGTACATTTTTTTGTTATATCTGCTGGCAACAAATATGACAAAATTCAATGGAAAATATGGTAATTAAATCCTGTGTGCAGATGTTTGTCAGGAGAATAGTTTATGTTTCTGCTATGAAAAACCTGGTTTTGAAGATATTGTTCATGCCAACATAAATGTCTTGTTGTAATTTGATATGCAATAAAAGGATGGGAAAATGGACAAACATACTTATACAGGAGATTAAACAAAGTGAGACGGTATGTAACGGCTCAACGCAGCGACTAGCATCGTGACTAGCAAAAGAAGGTGCTGCGTGTGAGGTGGAAGAGTAAAAGTTGCTTTTCCCACTCTGTGGTCCAGTCCTGTGAGCTAGTCGCACTGAGCTTGAGGTCAAAGTGAGAGCGGGCCAGATGCAGACGCTAACACTGACACAAAGTGACAGGTTCCCAGGCATTCAGTGACACCATCGGCTCCTCCCTTACCCCCCCCTTCCCCTCTCCACACTGTCATTGGTTCAGGCCGAGTCTTTGACCCCGCACTGGATCAGAGGGCTCACCAGCAGTAAGGCACATGGGCTGCCCCGGCATCACCGGCCTCACGGATCAGGGCCCTGCAGCGGCCTCCTATAAATGCAGAATAAATGAATACACAAGAGGCCCTTGTGGGGAAAGATGAACCGTGTTTGAATACACCTGGATAACATAGGCTGCATTTGAATGAACCCCTGATACCAGGATACAACTTTCAGTCAGACAGAATGAGTTTAACCACCAAAGGTGGAATGGTTGGGGGGGGTGCTGTCTTTGAGTCTCCATAGCTTGATAAAAGAATTAGCTTTTTGTATTCAGATGACCTTTCATCCATACTAGGAAGTGCCACTGTGTACATCGATATGTGAACTGTCCTCTGCCTCCACCTGCTCTTCAGGTCTTAACTTTGCTCCTGTGCTTATTGAAGCTGATTGTATGCACACCACTTAGCATTCTGGACACAATGTTAGCCAACGCCACTTTCATCTCTCAACATTGGAATTCTGCAGGCTGTATGCTACTTGGCCACAGGAAGAGGCTCTGTGACTTTCTAATGTCTGTACTGTAAATATGAAGCTACGATGAGCAGCTGAGCCATTAGCTTAGCACAAAGACTGGAAACAGCTAGCCCGGTTCTGTCTAAAGATAACTCAATCTGTCTACCAGCACCATTAATGCTCACATGGTAAAGGTCCATGTTGTAATGTCTATTTTTTATTATAAAGCAGGACTAGTGTGTGTGTGTGTGTGTGTGTATATATATCTATCTATATATATCTCTATCTATCTCTATCTATCTCCATATATCTCTATATATCTATCTATCTATCTATATCTACTGTAGATAGATAGATAGATAGATAGATAGATAGATAGATAGATAGATCTAGAGATGGATGGATCTAGAGATGGATGGATGGATGGATCTAGAGATAGATAGATCTAGAGATGGATGGATCTAGAGATAGATGGATGGATCTAGAGATAGATGGATGGATGGATAGATAGATAGATGGATCTAGAGATGGATATAGATGTCTGTCTGTCAAAACAACAATACTCAATCCCCTTTACCACCTTATATCTCATTTGTTTCATCTGCACGTAATAAAAACGAAGCGTAAAAACAACAACTTGCAATTTCTAATATTTAATAAATATTCAAAAAGCCACATCAAAGAAAGAGATGGGAAGGCAAGGAAGCAGGGAATTCTCTCTCCCGGCCTTTTCAGGAAACCAATCAAACTATGACCCAAATACCGACATGCTCCACATAGCAAACAGTGAATTTAGTGGACCACTTCACCCTGTTCAGCATGTGATACATTTATGAGTCGGTTTTATATAGCTGCATATTTATACGCGCTTGACGAGCTGCTCCGGGTCCATCCTTTTATGCGCTCAAACGTGGTGACATTTGCTCAGCAGCTGAGGGAGCATCTGATGCATTTATGTAGTGGAGTTTGCCTCATGTTCTCTCAACCACTCCACATGTGCGTTTCCCTCCACTTTATCCTTTTGACACATTTTTGGACGTTTTCGCGCAGAGTGACAGTTCCCCCAGAGGCGCTTTAAGTCGCGTAATAGATGAAGTGAATCTCGACTATTGAATGCCTTATGCTTGTGTCTCAGATCAGTCTGTAGCTCAGCTCGAGCTCGGAGGAGCACAAGTCTGTGGTTAAAGGCTTGTGGGTGTGATTGGGAAAAAAAAAAAAAAAAGAACAAACTTGTTTTTGTCTAACCAATAAGAAGAGGATTTCCCAGATTTACTCAGATGTTTTATTTCATCTCGTCTGCGATAATATGAAATATCCGTGAGTTTTCGACAGAGCTGTCACAACACACCGACACCAGGGAGGTAAAAGTAGGTGTGAGTGGGGTGGGGAGAGTTGAACACACACACTGGTGGGTGACCACAGCTGTGACAATACAACCGGGGGGGGGTTGCTCAGGCCTAAACCCTCTCCCTCTTTGTCATCATGTCACAAGCTTCCTAGCTAGACCTCTGAGGTCTGTTTAGTCACTTTCTCCCACAGCTACCAAAGCAGGTGGGATCCTGTTAAGTGTTGGTCACCGTTGGGGAGGGGGGGTTGGAAACGGCAAGTGAGACAGAAAAAAGAATCCAGTTACTATGGAAATATTGACAACATTGCTATGGGAACTGGAGCACCACAGGGCGCTTTGTCTTGGATCTATCTGTAATCGTCTCAGAGAGAAGCTTATGGTAATATGTGATGCTCTTATGAATTAATTTGTCAGGCTTTCTGTCCCCGCTGACATCATCGACTTTTATCAAATGGAAATTCGCATCTCCTTGAGGCTAAAGACGAGAGGCAATGCGACGTTCAACTCTCTTTTTTTTTTTTTTTTTTTTTTTCCCTGCTTGAATCCTGTCAGCACCCCAGTGACACAGTGCATGGTTAAAATGTCTATAATAAAAGTTAAGTTAGTAATGGTTCACAATCCTGTCATTTTTATTGTTTATAACGTAATCAAAATGTTTAGATAGGGAGACTTCATTGTATTACCTTTGTTAGATAACCACTTTAAACAACAATTACCACTGCCTCTAGTTGTTGTTTCTGTACTTTCAATTCAGTCTTCCTCATGATGACATCGTGACATCATTCTCTGATTCTCACAGCACAGTTGGCATAGTTTTATTTTCAGTCACCAGAGAGGATCAATGGAAGTTCTTTGCTGTGGTGGACGGTGGAACAAGTGAAGTGACCGTGGAAAAAAACCATGCAGTGCAACCATTCCTCGACTTTTGATATTTGATTATCAAAAAGGAAGTCCTTCACAAAGGAGCAGTGTGTAGTATTTAGGGGGATTGGCAGAAAGAGAATATAATATTCATAACTATTTTTCGTTTTTGTTACCTTTAGAATGGGTCCTTCATATCAACGTAGGTCCTCTTCACGGTGCCCGCCGTGTTGCACCGCCATGTTTCCACAGAAGCTCACCTTACGGTACCTGAAGGCCACTGGAGTTCTCAGACACCCTCTGAAAGGGAGGAGTGATGGTACCAAACCCTACACACTGCTCCTCTTAAAGCACAAAATGCCAAAAATTCTTGCTTGTGTGTTCTTGTTGACTCTGGTGATCTTTTGATGTGATGAACACCTTTCTTGCTTTTGTGGTCTAGTTCCCGTATTCAGAGGTAGCAGAGAGAACCAGCAGCGCTGGCGTGTTAATGAATGTTCCTCCCTCAGCATTTACAGTCTTTCTCGTCTCCACCACACGCCTCACCAGCCGCATCCATGCTTGTTTACATCCGTTTGAGCTGGAAACATTGGTGCTGAATACGTATCCGGAGCAGCCGGGGCCGTTGTTATTCATGTAGCAGTAGCCACGAATACATAGCGCGCGTGTTGCTCTCAGGTCCGCGTGTGTCTGGATGCACACATTCACTCCGTCGAAGGTGCGATGGCCGCAATGCGGGGCCATCTCTCGTGCTGTCATTTCTATAAACTGGTCTAGTATCTATCATGTGGAGGTCACGGCCTTGGAGGTGTCAGTGTTTGATGTGGCTGTCTGTGCTGGTCACGGAGCAGGAGATGACCAGAGAGGAAGAGAACAGTCCTCTTCGGGGAATCAATGGAAGCATTTCAGAAATGAAGTGAATAATGAATACAAATGAAGAAGGAGAAGATTATATGGTCGGTCATATCAACGGCACATTTATGCGCAGAGACTCTCGGCTGAGGAATACGTGAGCGGTTTGCGAACAGCAACCGGTGGATATGAAGTGAAACTGGGGTGTGCGTACTTTGATGTCTGAGCCTCTGAAGGGGCGTGGGAATATTCTCCACAGGCGCGAGGCAGAGATGTTCCACAGGGGGATATCACCAGGTTGCTTAATTGAATCGTTCTATTTATGGCAGCGGCCTCACCTCTCTGGATTCAGCGAACAGCGGCGCAGGAAGCAACTGTGGTTTTTCCCAGGGGGAACAACAGAAAAGACAAGGAGGGATTTGTTACACAGGAAATACTCGGCTCCTCGGTGCCTGTTGTATTATTCAGAGATGTAAAAAAAAACCTGTGGGCTTTACGAGGGCATTACACCAAGATTGCAGAGGAAAAAAAACCTGCGCCCATCACGAGGACGGCAAGGAAGATTAAGAAAAGAAAATAAACAGATTTGCCAGATCTCCCACAGATGTGTCCAACCAAGGACAACACAGAGACATGCAATTCATGCCATATGTAGGTCACTGAGCACCTGCATGCTTTAAAAGCTAACAATCTAACATCACACACATCTTACACACAGACCCGGTCATGGCTCGGAGAGAAAGACACAACAAGGATTCATTTCATCCAAGATAAAGTCTGAGCAGATTTTAGCAAACCTAAATGAAAAATGAGTAGATCCAGGTTTATTAAACCAAAAACAAATAGTTTAATCTGCATTGAGAGGCTCGCTTACCCAAATTGAGTTAAATACATGAATAAATAAATTTGCTGTAAGAACGCTGTAAAAAAGACTTAACTTTCAGCTACTCTGTATTCCTTAACAAAACGTTGCATTGTTTGCTAGCTGGCAAGCTAAAAGGTTAGCGAGGCTAACGTCATGAGGGCTCCCGTGTTTCCTTCTTTGAGATAAACGCGTTGGCCTAAGAACAAGTTGAGCAAATAAAAGATGATCAATTATGCGTGGGTTTTATTGTGTGATTCATTTGCATGTCAATACTAGATCCTCTCCTCCTGTTCTTACCTTTCACAATAAAGGCCTGTTTACCAGAGGGAGCTATGCCCGAGTAAATCTGTTCAAACTTTTTGTTTTGATGTGAAATATCCGCAGCTCAATATTTAGTAATTTTGTGTTGTTGTTTACCACGCCCCCAGTGTGTGAAGGCCTCAGTGAAAAAACGTTTTTTCAAAGTAAAGGAGAAAGGAGACTGCCTGTTGGTCCAGTCTTCCTGTTCAGCTCCAGAACAGTTTCCTTGCGGTCTCCTGAGAATCATCAGCAGCAGCATCATAAAACTCAGTTGGGTTAAGTCTGTCCCTTAACTTTCTTCTCGGAACTTGATTATTTTTACTCAGTCCATCTCAAAAAGATATGTTAAACCTCCTCAAGTGTAAATTGAAAGTTAATCCTGGTTCACAGTTTAAATTGGAGTAAATTAGAAGAGAATATATACAGTATATATATATTTAAATCCTGGTTTTAAAACTAATCTGTAATCCTTGATTTGAAGCTAGTTTTAGGTTTGGTGCAGCATCATTTAATCTGGTTTAAAAAGAGTTGCTTCCCATTTTACACTGGCCAAATAAATAACGTGTAGCTATCACTGGTTCCATTGGTACGAGAGGTGAAGGCAAGACCTCGGAGGCTGTTCAAGGAGAGACACAGACAGGACGAGTATGATCAGGGAAGGATGTGTCGGACAGATGGGAAACACTGCTCTCATAACGCACGGTCAGCACTTCCCCCAGCTTTCACTAGGCTCGCGTTCTTCAGCCGGACGGTCCAGTTGTTTGACGCCCACTTGGGAAAAGACGCAGCCTCTGCTGCAGGGTTACCCAGAAGGAAGCAGTTGGGATGGGAGTCAGAGTGTTACTGTCACTGTTATTAGTATCGGGTCTATAAAGTAATGATTGAGAAAATTGTGACGCCTTGAACAATTTCAGTTTTCGGGTTTCGTCCAAAATCATTTTATGATCAGAGAATACTGTCACAAATAGCAAATACTCACTCGGGAGATGCATTGAAAAATGACTTAATCGATGATGAAAACGGCTTATTCATTTCCTGTTGGTCGACTAATCGATTCATTTACTTTTTTTCCCGTTACACAAATGACTTAAGGCTGCATATGAGCTACTCGGTGAACAGACAGGAAGCTAAGGAGGGTGACCTTTTAATCCGTGAAAAGTTGACATTTTCAAAATACTTATTTCACGAACGAGACATTGTCACTTTTAACGTGTTGATAAACATCGTTGAAACGTTTCGCAGATATAAATGATTGTGTTGAATGCCTCCAGAGGTAAAGGATCTCTGGTAGAAGTGCAAGTCACAAGTTTCATCGTTTTGCTAGCCTGGTTTATAATGCAGATGAACCTCAGTGTCTTTGTGAGCGGGGGGGGGGGTTTCATGTGTTTTCCTGGACAGCTGTTTCCACAGCTTTCTCCAGCTTTCTACGTCTACGTCAAGCTCACTTAGGCGCCTAATCTGCACCAGTACTCTCTGCATAAAGGAGGAGCACGGGGGGGGGGTGCTAAACTCCATTAGCTCTGTCAGACCAGAAAATCTGGAGCACCGCATTTAATGTTAAGTCGAAGCGCTAAATGAATCACCTGGTATAATTTATTGTCAACTTCGGATTCTATTTCGACACGGCCCTTTCTGATATTTCGGACCCTCTGCATACTTGGCCTAGTTAGATTCGGCGTTAAGTTACACATTACGGGCCGTATATTTGGAGCTCCAACCCAGAAGGAAGCAGCGACGTGCCTCGCATACGCAAGCTTTTGTTAGAAACAGTTAAAGGCATGTTTCCACTAGTGCGTGGATGGATTTAGGTTAACTGACAGGCATTCTTATTGAAGATTCCCTCACATTTCTACCTTTTTCCATTGTAAAGAACAGATCTCCTTCAGTGTGCGTTTGTACGAGGATGTAGAGCTTCTCCTCTACACACAGCTTTGTAACTGTGTGCTCTGTGTGCTCTGTGCTTTCCACTGGATCTGTGCTGTTCTGACTGTCACACTTCTGAAGGAGCGCACATTCTCTTCTGCTCCTCTGCAAGTCTTTGGTTAAAGTTCGAAAACATTACTTTTTACTACTTTTTTTTTTTAGGTTGGTCAAGAACTTTTTTTCATTTAGTGCTGTAGAGCTAAACTTATCCCACCTGGGAGCAAACCTTGTTGTCTCTGCTGCAGTACGGAATAAATTGCGTCTCGAGATGCAAAGCCGATTCAAATATTTATTGAAATTATCAAATCAGAAAATATAAAGGTTTCCTGTTGTGAACTGCTGAGCTATATTTGTCGTTTTGAATGATGCTCCACTGCTTTAGTAGTATGGAGGCTCGGGGTGGGTCAGCACACTGAAGCTCCTGCGTGTGGAAGGCTGCTTGAAACATTTGTTTTCATACTTATTGCCACTAACATACTTGATGTCATCATGAAGAACTGCATCTCTGCTTTAATATTGAATGGCTCACAAGGAGCACATGTGAAAATGATTTATCTGACACAGGAATATTAATAAAGTCAGAACATGAGCGTCAAACTTAAACTTCTCAAGCGACCCCCTGAGACGTGGGTCTTTTGTTGTCCAGCGTAGCCATGACCTACTTCTCACCTCCATGCTGCCTTGTTACTGTCAGCGGCGGCTGAAAACAAGCTGTCGTCTTGTCATGATCTCCAGAAAGACCGCGGGCTAATCAGCTTACCCTGTCTACTCTAGCAGGTGACCCCAGACACTGCTGTGGATCCATATGACAGTTGGTGGAGGAAAGGTTATGCTCGTTTGAGCAGGTCTTTTTAAATGAGAGGCCCATGACTAGTTCCAACCAGTAATTATTGGCAGACTACACCTAAATACTGTCCGCGCCATTCAGGGTCCCTTCGTGGTTGTTTGGTGTCTCTTTCTCTGGTCGATTTGTGTTTCTTGTCTTGTTGTGATCGTTGTCTCACCGTGGTTCTTTTTTGTCTCACTGTGGTCGTTCTTTGTGTCTCTGGTCATTTTGCACCACTTGTTTTTCGTCTCTCCGTTTTGTCTTTGTTTTCCTCTTATCATAGTGTGGATGTTTTTTTGTTTCCATTTCTGTCTCATTGTTGTTGCCATTTGTGTCATTGTGGTCTTTTGTCTCTGCGGTTATTTTGTTACTTGATGTGGTCATTGTTTGTCTTTGTGTATTGTGGTTGTCTTTGTGGTCTTTATTTTGCCTCTTTGTGGTCATTGTTTTTGCCCCTCTGTGGTCGTTGTTTTTGTC